CTCTCCTCACTTCTCTTCCCCTCCCCCACCCCTCCTCTCTCCACTTCTCCCCACTTCCTTTCCCTCTTCTTCTCCCTCCTTCCTCTGTACTTTTCCTCTCCCCTTTCTCTCTCCTCTTCTCCTTCTCCCTTCCTCTCCCCACTTCCTCTTCTCTCTACCCCTGCCCCCGGGTGAGCAGTGGTGTCTGCAGTCAGCTTCTCCACTCCTCCTGGTGCTCACCCCTTCTTGCTGTGCACCCCAGCCACTTCACAGCCCCCCTTCCTTCTAACTCTGCTACTTCTCTGCCACAGAGACCTGGTGGCACAAGAGTCAGGCACTTTGCTGCTCCCCAGAGGTCTGCATTTCAAGCCCACCGTTAATCTATGGTAGAAGGACCTGTGAACATGGCAGCCTGGAAAACCCTATCATCCAAACACGGAAGCAGGAGCCCAGCCAGTGGCCGGGCGGGAGGAGTCCTGCGGGCTGAGTGCCCCTGAGGGTATGCAGGGCTGAGTCCCTGTCTCCTTCCTGGCTCACACTGCATTTCACAGCCTGGTCACCACCACTGTTGGTGATGTACTGTCTTCCTGCAGTGCTCACTCCAGTGTCCTGTGCGAGAGTCGAGTCCCCTTCTCCAATGGTGTTCTCCACCCAAGTCCTGTTCACTGATCGGAGAACTTCCGGTAGCTCAGCTCACTGGGGCCTAAGCTCTCATTTATGGGGTGTGTGTGGCATGCTAAGGCCCGTGTAAGTGCCAGGAACGTAGTGTGGGCATTCAAGATGGCCCACCAGGATGGACAGCACAGGCTGTGTGACCTGGTGAGCTGAGGGCTTGTCTGAGGGCCATGAGGATGTGCTCTGTGTCCCTGGACATCACAGCGTTGGCCAGAGGGTACAGCGCACATCTGGGTCATGTCAGTGGTAGGGCGTCCTCCCACCCCCTCTGCTCCTACCTGCTTCCCCTTCTGTGAGACAAGGACACTGTCTGGGAGAGGAGAGCCTTACCCAGGGACCCTCTGTCAGAGAGCAGACTTAACAGCCCTGCGAAGAAGGGCCGTACACATGCCAGTGTGATCTCACTGCCCTGGAGAGGGGCCGGGCAACCATCTGCATCGTGCAGACAGAGAAGTTGGGAGAGGGTAACCGACCACATGCTGTACCTCCTATCTCCAACCCCCACTTGGAAGCAGCTGCAACCCTTGTCCCTGCCCTCCCAGCACCATACTGTACCCCTGTCCCTGTCCCCCAGAACCACACTGCACCCCTGATTCTACCCCCAGCACCACACTATACCCCCATCCCTGCCCCCCAACACCACACTGTACCCCCTGTTCTTGTCTCCCCGCTTAGCACCACACTGTATCCCCTGTCCATGCCCCCAGCACCATGCTTAGCACCATACTGTACCCCCGTCCCTGCCCCCAGAACCACACTACACCCCTGCTTCTGCCCCCAGCACCACACTATACCCCCTGTTCCTGCCCCCAACACCACACTGTACCCCTGCCCCTGCCCCCCAGAATCATACTGCACCCCTGCTTCTGCCCCAACACCACACTGTACCCCTGCACCAACCCCCAACACTACACTGCACCCCCTGTTCTATCCCTCCAGAACCACACTGTACCCCTGCTTCTACCCTTAGCACCACACTGCACCCCCTGTTCTATCCCTCCAGAACCACACTGTACCCCTGCTTCTACCCTTAGCACCACACTGCAACCCCGTCCCTGCCTCCCCAGCTCCACACTGTACCCCAGCTTCTGCCCCCAGCACTACTCTGTATCCCTACCCCCAGCACCATAGCATACCCTGTCCCTGCCCCCAGCACTATATTGTACCCCTGCCTCCAGCACCACACTGCTCCCCCTGTCCCCACCCCCCAGAACTGCACTGTACCCCTTATCCCCAGCCCTCTCAGCATCATGCAGCACCCCCGTCCTTGTCCCTCCACACCACGCTGCACCCACTGTTCTCATCTACACCGGTCCCACGCTGCACTCCCTGTCCCCACCCCTCAGCACCACTCTGAGGGGTCTCCTGACTGCTCCCCTGAGGCCTCCAGTGTCTGTGATCAGAGGCTGCACCATTCTCCCCAGCCGGCCCATACACACTTTCTGTCAGCCGGTCCCCTGGCTAGGGGCCAGCCCAGCCCCACTGTCCTCCATGGTGTTTGCTCTAGATGGTTCCCTCAGTCACTGCTCCCCGAGAGTCCCTGAGTCCTCACAATGTCTGGGGCCCAGTGAGGGCAGGCCTGCCCTTCCCCAGGGAGCGCTACGGCCTGGGTTCTTCGAGTGACCACCCTGCTCTGGTGCTTTGTACAGAGAGGCACTCCAGAACACAGTACCACGTGCTCCAGGACGTAAGCTCTGTGATCTACAAGATAGAAGCTGACCTGGCCTCCCAGGCATGGGAGACCCTTCAGTGGCCTGCCTCTGCCTTTTTGTACTATGAATGTAACAGTGGACCCGAGGTGGACTTCTCCCCACTGTGTGGGAGCCCCAGGCCAGTGCACCTCGTGCAGGTCCCACTGCCTGTCCCCGAGGCCTCTGAGATGCTACGATGGTGAGCAGGGGTCACAGGCTGCGGACTAAGATGGATGAGGAAGAAGACGCTGTGATTCCAAAGGCCTCGCCGACCAGGGGAGCAGACAGTGAGAGGGTCGAGACCAGTGATGCTTTTCGTGCTGGTGACCCTTGTTTGACAGGAGGGGCTGTTCTTCTTGCTGGGGGTCCCATAGCAGTCCAGGCCCCAACTTTTGGCCAGATCTGCTCCCAAAGTCACCCCTTTTGCTGCCACCAAAGCCCACCACCCACGCTTTGGGGCCACCATTGTGAATGACCTTGTAGCCTTCCTGGGACAAAGTAGGGTCATCAGGGGAGTGACAGGGTGGACAGACAACCCAGACTTGCAGCTGGGAGTCGTGCGGCCTCGCCGGACCCTGTACTGACCGTCACGCTTTCCCATGGGTTCCCTACATGGTAGTCTTACGGGAGCTGACGGCCACATTTTTCATTCGAAGAGTAGCTTGCGGGTTTGAACCATTGACCTTTCAGTTGACAGTTGAGCACTTGAACTATTGTGTCAACAGACTGCCCCTTGGAAAGGCAGGCAGCCTGTGGCTAGGTAACTGGTCACGTTTTTACCAGCACAACAGACCAGGTTGGGACCCAAGGGGCCATAAAACCCGTGAGGACACGGTAGCCGACCAGACGTGTTTGGCAGCTGAAGACTCCGTGACCGCACCTCTGCCCTCCCAGGGTCAGTCACGAGGGCAGGTCCGTGAGGGTTCCTGTCCCCACTCCAGTGGGAGGTGAGGAGAAGCTGAGGAGCCCACGGGCACAGCTCAGAGTGTCCTAGCCTGGGTCTTCCAGGCTGCCCACCCAGTCAGTGCCTGAAGAGAACACCAGCATACTGACGAGGTCCTGAAGGGCAGGCACATATCAGAGATGCAGTGACCGGAGGCCCTGTCCTCGACACAGTGAGGGGGCTGTGCCCCCCACACACCCCAGTCTGGCCCTAAAGCCAGCTGCCTTCTCTCTGCTCAGAGGGGCAGGCGTCTCGGACTTCCCTCACCTCACCTGAGCCACCTTCCTTCACAGGCCGGTGGCCAGGAGATCCTGGCCTGCTGGGTGACCTATATTTGGTGTGTATCGTGAGCCAGGCCCAACCTGGAGCACTGGGAGGGACACAGCCCCGCCTTCCAGGAGCACACATGGGCATGAAAAGGGTGGGCAGAGGACCACACAGGAGACCTAAACCCGCACCGTGGAGTTAGTGCAGTGGGGAGAAAACCTCCAGGCAAAGCTGGAAAGGCCTGTCTTCCAGGGGACCCAAGACTTAGGGAAGGTGTGAAAGCAGCAGCTCGGGTTGGAAAACGTCAGAGGCCTGGATACATGCAGCCGAAGGCCGGGGCCGTGCAGCAGTTTGGGTGTGTCACAGCAGACGCACCCTCCGTGTGGGCTGGTGCTGAAAGAGGCCCGGCCCAGGCCTGCCTGAGTACTGGGTAAATGAGGGCCAGTCCAGGCATGGGCTGATGGGGCCATCATGGGAGGGGGCACCCACTTCCCTCACCCTATGAGCTGTGGCTCCCCGGGGACACAGAAGGGACCATGGCTCTTCCCCTGTCCCTCACCTCCCAGTACCTCACACGGGAGGTCTGCCCTTGCTGCAGGCTGGGCAATGACGGAATGTCTCCTTACTTGGGATCCCAGAAGGTTGCTGGCCTGCGATGTTCCCACCCCAAGTAGCCCTCACACAGACTGCTGCCCAGGCCTGCAGATGGTTCTAGAAGAAAGAGCCCTTTCCTCACCTGTCCTCCTGACCACGGCAGGGCACCTACAGGGTCTTGCCGGGGTGGGGACACTACCAGCCAGGGCTCAGGAGTCTGTGGAAGTCTTATCTGCAGCCGTCTTACTCTGCTGGGCCTGGATACTGCCCCACTCCATACTGTGCTGTGGGCCCTCAAAGCTAGGACTGTCGAAGATTTCTCCGTTCTTGGTCTCCTGCCGAGTGTACCTTCCCCAGCCCTGTAGGGTCCCAGGTCCAGCAGAGACAGTTGGATCAGGAGGACCAGGGAGTGCCCAGGCCAGGCGGCCTAATGAGACGTGCAGCACACAACCTCAACAGGGACATGGCCACAGCTGCTGGGTCTGGAGGGAGGCGTGGGGACAGTGAGGGGGACCATACCAGGCCAGTCTGGCAGACTTGGAAAGACCTCAGGCCGAGCGAGGGGACTGAGCGGAGCCCTCCAGCCAGGGTCAGGTCAAGGGACAGCTTTGTGGGGGATGAGGAGGCAGTGCAGGGGAGGGTGCAGGGTGGCAAGTGTGAGAAGAGCTGGTTGACAAGCAGGTAGACACGTGGTGGTGGTTACAGCTGAGGGAGGAGTCCTGAGAAGGGGCTGGGCGTGGGGTGAGCCGAAGGGGAATCGTTTGAGACAGACCAGCCGGGCAGAGGTGCCACGGCCACCCTTGGTCCCAGACCAGCTTCTATCCCTGACCACGTGCTTCTCTGTCCCGTAGGCCCTTCCACCCAGCGCCAGGTGCAGAATGGCCCCTCTCCTGATGAGATGGACATCCAGAGAAGGTAATTCTGCCTGTCCAGCCTGACCCACCTGCCAGCCCCTCAGTACTGCCCACTGTCCAGGCTATCTTCAGCGAGTAGAGGATGACCTGTAGCTAAAGGGAGAGGGCCAGTGATGCCAGAGCCACAGGAGAGGACAGAGAACAGGGCTGCCCAAGCCAGAGACCACACAGGCTGGGGCTGGAGGAGGAACAGCGGGTGGACAGAGGACCAGAGGGAGGACTAGGACTACCCCAGCAATGAGCTGAGGCTGGAGGGGCAGGAGGTGGACAGAGGACCTCGGCTCCCGAGCCAGAGACCACAAGGGCTGGGGCTGGAGGGGCAGGGCCCGAGTGAAGAGGGCTTGTGTTTCTAACAAAGTCAAGACCAAGGACAGCTGTGAACATTGTGGTATTAACTTCCAGGCTCAGTGTCCACAGTGCTGTTGAGATACTATTTCATGTCCTGCCTGTATGATGGGGTCAGTCATGCGCCAGTACCCCCACTGCAGCAGGCACGCAGGTGGGCCCAGGTCAGCTTGCTCCAAGCCCTGGTCCTCACTGCCATTCATAAAGCCACCTGTCTGCTGTGCTGCCTCTACACTTTGGGCACCTGGGGCAAAAGCCACACGGCCCCTCTAGGGAGCCCTCTGCACCCAGTCACATGCCAGCTGAGGATGAGAGCAGGTGAAGGCTCTAAAGGTGTTGTGTGACCTTGACCTAGCTACACTCACAGCGGCCAGCGCAGTGCTCCATCGTCCCATGGCATGAACTTGAGGACCTAGGAGCCTTTACAACTGCCAAGAACAGCGCCCAGGAGCTGTGAGAGCTCAGGGAGGGGAGATCGCCCACATTCAGCACCAAGAAGTGGCCAATCAGGGCTTGAACCCAGCCTGCAGTGTGCAGGGGGTCCTCCACCTCTTCAGGGGACACCTGGCCTGGCCAGTCCATCCTGACGTCTGTTCTAGAAGGAGAGAGCAGCACCCCAAAGCTGAGGCAGCCCAGGTGTAGAGAACAGCCTCCTGCCCACCCTGCCCGGTGGGCACCTGCTGGTTCGTTCTATCCAGCTTCTCTGCGCCCTGTGTGAACCCCGGGCCCCTCCACACTCCCATGTTAACCTGTGGGACTCAGTTTCCCATTTTAAAGAAACAGTGTGAATTACTGAGGTGATGAGTGAGAGGAAGCCTCCTCGTGGTCCCTCCTCCCTCCCGTGTGCGTGCTGACCTCGTCCAGTGGAGCTTGGCCAGCAGAGGGCATGGTCTGTTTTAGCTGTCACCCCAGCCCTTATGGGCTGTCACTGTCCCTGAGCCCGTGACTGACCTGGACTCAGCCTTCACCTTTCTTCACGGGGCCCAGGGCTGCCTCCATCCAGAGCATGGTGTCCACCAAACCAGTGTGTGAAGGTCCCAAGGCAGGTGGCTGTGCAGGCCTTCACTCGTCCTCCAAGAACTGGTCCGGCATCCACACCACCTTCCTGCAGCTCACAGGCCAGCCATCTGCACTGGTAGTCAGTCTGCTACACGGTCCATCGACAGCCTGGGTGACCCCTGAGTCATCCTGTGAACTACAGGGTCCCAGCAGATAAGGCGTGGACATTCACACAGGAGGTGGGGGCTGTGACAGCCTTGGGGTCAGACAGCCAGTGAGTGGCTCCATGCATAGGAGCGTCCTCTGTCCACACAAACAGCATAGTCCGTTCTGACCCATCGTGGGCTTCTGGGCGTGTGCACCCCACAGGAGAGATGGGGTTTCAGTGCAAAAGTCAAGGCAAATACCGTTTGTCAGCAGTCTCACCAGAAAACCCAGGGACAGATGCCATCCTGCCAACTGCCAGAAAAGAAGCTGAGGCCCAGAGGGCAAAGGTCTGATCCTGGTCACAAAGCCTGTGACCCAGCGCCCGAACTGACCAGCTCTTGTTGTCGTCATTGGGTTCCACTGAGTCCAGTCAACACACAGTGAACCCAAGTACAGCAGAGCAAGCCCTGTCCTGCCCAGCGCCGTCCACACCGGCAGTGCTGCGCTTAGCCCATCGGTGCAGCCACCGCGTCAGTCCCCTCCTGAAAGGTCTGCCTCTGGTTCCCTGTCCCCGTTTGACCCAGCATGGTATCTGCAGGACTGGCCCCTGCAGGGCGGTGCAGAGCAAGTGAGATGAAAACTCATCAACTTCACCTCCAAGAAGCACTCTGACTGCACTTCTGAGACAGTCACGTTTGTTCCTTTGGTGGTCCAGGATGTCATTAATACTCATCACCAACTCCACAGCTCAAAGGCATCAGTTCTGCAGACTTCCAGGCTCATTATCCCTCTAAATGGTCCCTGCAGGAAAGTTTGGGTATGTTGTCGAGTCGACTACAACCCATTGCAGTCCTGTGAACTGCCCTGAACCTTGCCCTATCCTCAGCCAACCTCACTGCCTCTGACACACCTGACCCCATTGCCACAGTCACTGTGCCAATCCATCTCATCCAGGGGTTTCCCCATCGGCACTGAGCCTCCACCCTTCCAAGCGAATGTCCTTCTCCAGTGACTGGCCCTCCTGACAACATCCCCAAAGTATGTGAGACGGTGCTTCAGAATTCTTGCCTCTAAGGTGCAAACTGATTCTGCTCTCTCTAAGAAAGATCTGTTCATTCTCTTGGCGGTCCATGGTATGTTGAATACTCTTCTACAACACTACACTCCAAGGCATCCATTCTCCTGTCATCTTTATTCATTATCCGATGAATTATTATTCATTGTCCAACTCTCAGATGCGTATCAAGCAATTGAAGATGTGCCTACTTCATTAGAAGGTACACCCTCTAATCTCTAGACTGACGTAATTTCTCTTTAGCATTCTGGAGAGATCCTTGGATAACACAGCATCTTCTCCTAGTCCAACTTCATCTTTGGATTTCCTGGCTGCTGGTGCTAAGGGGTTTTGTTGATTGTGGACGCAAGCAAGATGAAATCATTAATAACCTCAATCTTTTCTCCTTCTATCATGATGCTGCCTATTGGCCAAGTGTTGAGGATATTTGTTTTCTTGATGTTGAGATGTAATCCATACTGAACGCTGCAGTCCTTGACGTTCTGTAGCAAATGCTTCAAGTCCTTCTCAGTTTCATTCAGCAAGGTTGTATCATCATATAACACAGTTTCTTGATGCATCTTCCTCAAATCCTGAGGCTATATTCTTCTTCATAAAGCCCAGTCTCTCAAATTATTTGCTCAGCATTCACATTGAAAATATATGGAGAAAGGATACATCCCTAGCACACTCCTTTCTTTATTTTGAACCATTCCTTATTCCTTGCTCTGTTCAGACAACAGCTTCTTGATCTAGGTATATGTTTCGCATGAGCATAATCAAGTGTTCTGGGACTTCCAGTCTTCTCAGTGTTAGCCATAATTTGTTGTGATCCACACAGCCAAATGCCTTTGCATAGAAGATAAAACACAAATAGACATCCTTCTGGTCCTCTGTACTTTCACCCAGGATCCGTCTGACATCAGCAATGATATCACCTATCAGCAATGGTATCACTAGTGCCATGGCCTCTTCTAAACCCAGCTTGTATTTCTGGAAGTTTTCTGTTAATGTACTTACTGCTCTAGTCATTTTTGGATAATCTTCAGCAAGATTTTGCTTGCATGTGATAGTTTTCAATGATTTCCACATCTTGTTGAATCATCTTTTTTGGGAATGGGAATAAACACAGATCTCTTCCAGTCAGTTGGCCATGTAGCTGTCCTCCAGATTTCCTGGCACAACCTGGTGAGCACATCACCTGGTGCTTGTCGAAATATGTCAACTGGTGTTCCATCAACCTCTGGGGCCTTATTTTGTTGCCGATTCCTTCAGAGCAGCTTGAACTTCTTCCTTTATTACTCTTGCTCTTGATCATATGCTGCCTCTGGAAGTGGACCTGACATGGTTAGTCTACTAGATTACACATTTGGCTGCTAACTGAGGAGTCGGTGCTTTGGACCCCCCGGGCTGCGCTGCCGGAGAAGGACGAGGCAGGCTGCTTCCGTGAAGCTGTCCACCTTGGAAACCCAGGAGGGCGGTTCTGCTATCTCATAGACTCAGAGTCAGCCAAGAGCAAAGCCACCTCACAGGCACCCTCCAGGTGCAAGCAGCAGAAGGCACGGCCAGCACCGGAGGACGGCTCCCTGGTGCTCACGGGGATCCCTGTGGCCCGCCAGCCCTAAGCCTCCCCAGCTGCTCCCCATGTGGCCGGGACTGCTGGCCTCTAGCGTGCGCTCCCACCCAGCCCCAGATCGGATGCTCAGGACCCCAGCTCCTCCAGGCGTGCTGGAGTGGGGTCACCAGGGCTAAGTGATGAAGGTTCCCCTCTGCCCCCCCAGGCCCTGTGGACATATTTGTGGGCTGTGTCCTCACCTTTGTGTCCCAAAGCCACTCTGTCATAGAGGACCACTCACACCCAGCGAAGCACGCATGGCTTTGTGCTCAACACACCACGTGACCCTGGAAGTGGTCAGCGGCAACAGGAATGAGGACATGCAGCCCTGGTGTCCATTTCTCCACCAGCAATAGCGCCTGAAACTGCCCTCAGAACTGGGCCAGGCACAGCGAGGACCCACCACACCCCCAGGCCGCTCCAGTCAGTGAGACCAAGCCAGCCCCAGGGTCCCAGGCAGCTTCCTGGACCTTCCAGGTGCGGGCTGGAGTCAGGAAACAGCCCCACCTGCTGCAGGGACCTGGGACCAGTCGCCACCCCTCCTCCGCCGCAGTCAGGCCCACAGTGGGGTGGACTGGGCGCACATACAGGCCTGCGGCCAACAGCTGCAACCTGACTCCGCGGCCTGGGCTGGGAACCGAGCCTCATCCCTGGAGACCCACGCTGTGCTCGTGTTCTCTCACAGGCAAGTGATGGAGCCGCAGCAGCGTCCCGAGTCTCTGGAGAGGAGGGCCTCAGCCACAGGTGAGCACCCCACCTCCGCCCAGGGACAGTGTCCAGCCCCGTAGGCACTGACTACGCAGACCGCCCCATGCTGCCGAGACAGAGTGAGGGGTCTGTGGATAGAGCAGGGGGTGCTCCTCCAGCCGCCCCTCCGTGCAGGCACTCCGAGTCCCTCCCTGTGTCCAGCACCATACTGGGGTCTGGCGACATGAGATGGGACAGAGCTGGTGTGTGGTTAGGACCAGGCCAAGTGCAGGCCACAAGAGGCCAGAGAAGACTTCCCGATGGGTATTTTCTCAGCTTCTGTGTCAGCCCTGGGAGGGCGGGGGGGGAGGAGGAAGAGGAGGGCCCTGGGAAGCTGCACCAGCTCACAGCGCCCACGGAGCCCTCAGCCCGTCTCCATTCCCTCGCACCCCCGAAATGACAGGGGACTGCTGTCCTGGTCCGCTCGTCCCGCTCAGGGTGAGAGACCATGTCCCGCTGGTCACAGGTGCCTCGCCTCTCCTGCCCCCACCGCCTCTCCTGCCCCCACTGGTCATTCTCTGCACCACCTCTTTCCACCATTCCTGGCGTGTCCCCTGTGTCCTACACCCTCACTCCCAGCTGTAGCCTCTCTGCACTCAGGCCACACTGTCTGTCCCGTCAAGTCTTCTGTGCCTCCACTTCTCACTGGACTTTTGGGGCTCTGCCTATGCTGCCCCCTTCACCTCCTCTCCTTCCCTCATCAGCTTCCCGTTCAGGTGTTGCATATCTAAGGAGGCCCCTCATAGACCTCAGCCACTCAAAGCCCCCAGGTAGCAAGCAGAGCCCCCCAGAGTGGAGTGGAGTTAGAGTCCCCCTAGTGGGGGTGGAGGCAGAGCCCCCGGGTGGCACCATGCACCCCTCTCTGTAGCATTTGTTGCTGTGCAGTTTGCTTTTGCTGTGTGATTAGTCGAGTACCCCCACCCCCCACCCCCCGGCCGTGGAAGCTGTAAGAGAGCATGTCCTCTTCATGATCCCAGCACCTGGCCAGCTCCTGGCCTCCACTGGGGTCCTGTCACTGTTACATGGAGGGTCTTTGGATAGACAGATGGTACACGTGTCCTCCCCCCAGCACATGACCACACTGAGGCTCTGTCACTGTTGGGTGGAGGGTGACCAGATGGATGGATGATGGTGAACGTGACCTTGCTGTGGCCCCGGCCCCTGGCCCCCGCCTGGCCTGCGTTAGTAGCCATTGCTGTGGGATGGAGGGTTGCTAGACAGGTAGATGGAGGATTACCCCCAACGGACATTCAGCACTGCCCTGTGACTGTGTCCTAGTGACCCTGTGGCTCAGAGGCATGGCCAGTCCCCAAACATCGGTCAGAATTTCATCTTGGGAACCAGCAGTTCTGAGGTTTCCAGTGGTGTCAGGCATATGGAAGGAACAGAAACCAGAAAAGGTGTCATTTGTGGGGAACTGTGATTTATTTTTTTATTTTTTTAAATTTTTTTTTATTAATTTCAATGAAAATTTACAGAGACTTAGGGTTTCCATTCATTCATTGTTGCACTTTTCTCCCCTCCCAACCCTCCCCCCCAGTACACTACCCTCTTGGAAAAGTAAAAGAGACATTCTTTCATTGTTATACAATCCCTCCCCCCTCAGGTCCACTCCACTATGCAGCCTTTGCTCTGGACTCCTGTCATGACAAAAATACCTAATCACATAGCCCTTTTAAACAGTTTTCTCCCTCATCTGTTTCAATGCAGTATACATTATTGAACCCATCTTTCTCAGTCTCCCCCCAACCCCAAGGTCAGTCCTGTTTTACAACAGTGGCACCATGCAGTATTTGTCCTTTTGTGACTGAGATACTTCACTCAGAATAATGTCCTCCAGAGTCACCCATTTTGAATAATATTGCATGAGTTCCTTGTTTTTCAATGCAGCATAGTATTCCATTGTGTAAATATACCACAGCTTCTCTATCCATTCATTTGGTGATGGGCACTTAGGTTGTTTCCAACTCCTTGCTACTGTGAGCAAAGCCACAATAAACATGGATATGCAGGGAGCTGTGATTTCAGTGAGCAAGGTGGCTGAGCCACGAGTGTCTGCTAGCATGTGGCCCCATGGGCCCCTCTGCTGAGGAGACCAGAAGGAGGCAAAACCTGGAACAGGGCTGAGCTGGAGCCAGGTCCCTAAGAGGCAGGTGCATCCTGCCCTCAAGCAGGTGGGGCCGGGACTGACAAGACCTCTGTCTCTCTCCTCTAGGACCCACCCTCCCACCTGGGCACCCCTCAGTAGCAGCCAGTGGGCCGCTCTCGTGTAGCGGGCCTCCACCCCCGCCTCCGCCCCCTGTCCCACCACCACCCACAGGGGCCACCCCCCCACCGCCACCACCACTGCCAGCAGGAGGCGCGCAGGGGGCCAGCCATGACGAGAGCTCCGTGTCGGGACTGGCCGCCGCCCTGGCTGGGGCCAAGCTGCGCAGAGTCCAGCGGGTAAGCTCGGGTGTGGAGGTGGTCTTCTGACCCCGGCCCTCCACCCCGTCTCATCTGAGGGCTGACGAGGCCGGGGATGGTTGCGAGTGGCCGCTGCCCTCAGGTCCCTTCCCGAGCAGCAGCAGCGGCCGCCAGCCCCGGGCCCACGGCTCTCTGTGCTGCTGTGTGGTGAGGCGGAGGTGGGTTCTGTCGGTCAGCCTCTCTCTGACTGTCCGGCAGGCACGCATGTCCCCAGCAGCACTCATCCGGGAAGGGCCCCAGCCCTGGCTTTGCACTTGAATTTGTCTCCTTCCCCAGAGAACCACCCCTCCTACCACACCTGGTCTTAGAAAGACCACTGGCCAGGGCTAGCCCTTGGCCCTCTGGGTTCTGGCCCTTCTCCCTGTACTGAGGGCCGTCCTCAGCACCCTCCCCCGCTTCACCCACCACTAGTTTAGGATTCGCACGCTCACACACACTCATGTATGCACACTCGTGTGTAATCATATGTGTTCAAACATGCACATAAACGGGTGTCAGTGTTCATGTCTTTACACAATGAATGGGCACATGTGTGTTCACATGCACACGTGTGCATCCTCATATACACACACTTACAAACCTGCACACTCACACTCGCCCTCCTCGAACGTAAATCAGCCCGCTGTCTGTCCTTCCGCACACACGGCCTCCTTTCCCTTTAGCCAGAAGATACATCTGGAGGCTCCAGTCCCAGCGGAACCTCGAAGTCGGACCCCAACCGGGCGAGCAGTGGGGGTGGAGGAGGAGGCCTCATGGAAGAAATGAACAAGCTGCTGGCCAAGAGGTGGGTCAGCTCCCACCAGCTCCGCCTGCTTCCTTTTATTTTTATAAGACAAAACCTTTAAAAAAAAGACATTATTATTTCATTTTTTTATTTCATAATACTTTAAAGAAAGTTTACAGAAAAGTTGGATTTCCATTCATTCATTGTTGCACATTTTCCTCCCTACCTGACTCCCTCCCCCAGTTCGCTTTTCTCTTTGAAAAGATTCTTTCATTGTTGTACAATTTCCTCGCGCCGTGGTCTGTGTTGTGATGAGGGACACAGGCCAAAGACAGATTCTCTGGTCAGTGCTGTGAGGAGGGACACAG